ACTACACATACACACTCACCCATGCACACAGATACAAGAAAATAATCTAGGCAAAAACTTCTAGATTAAGAAAGTTGTGACACATCAACCAGTGTAGGAATCCCTTGGATCCTGATTCAAAATAATTGTAAAAACACAAACAACAAAACTTTAAGTTCACCACACAATCATGCCTGGTTATTTCCTGTTATTAAATTAGTGATAATCCAGAAGGTGTGATAATTGTGTGACCTAATAATAGGTATGTATATGTATACATAATATTATATGTATATAAGACAGTCCTTTTCTTTCAGAACTAATATGGAAGTTAAGGGCTGCATGACAGCATTACTGAGTTTCTGGTGGAAAGAGTGGGGTGGATATTTAGAATAAAACAGGTATGAGTGGTTATTTTTATTTATTTATTTATTTATTGCTTTTTGGGTCACACCCGGCGATGCACAGGGGTTACTCCTGGCTCTGCACACAGAAGTTACTCCTGGCGGTGCTCAGGGGATGCTGGGAATCGAACCCGGGTTGGCCGAGTGCAAAGCAAATGCCCTACCCGCTGTGCTATCTCTCCAGCCCCATGAGTGGTTATTTTTGTGAGGAATTGGAGAGTCCTTTATTTTCTACCTTTTTGTTTGTTTGTTTTTGGATCACACCCACTGTTGTGCAGGCTGTTGTGTTGGCTCTGTGCTCGGGGATCACTCCTGGCAGTGCTCTGTGACCATATGAGGTGCTGGATTTTTAAACTGGGGTTAGCTGGATGTAAGGCAAGTGCTTAAAGAAGTCCTGTACTATCTCTCCAGCCCTTTGCAGATTTCACTGAGAGCCTCTTGCTCTCTACTTTTGTCTAACTTTGCAATTGTCTGCAATTATTTTTTAATTAAAAGCCTTTCGTGTGCCAGTTCATAGAATCTCCCATCACAGGCTACAAAATTCTTAACCATAATGCCTACTAACACTTGGGCACACTCAGTATTTTCTGAAAGATTTACCAATGGAGAAGACAGATGTTCAAATCCCACTTCACAGCCGAGGAAACGTGCAGAGCAGCCAAGCCCTGGCACCTCGTAGGTGGCGACCTAGAACGAGATTTAGAACTCCAAACCCAAGGTTATTCCTCCACATCAAGAAACTTTACCAAGGGCGCTTAAGAATGGGAAGAAAAAAAGACATTTTTCCAGAATTCTACCAGAGCGCACAAAGCAGCCGCCTCATTCAGCGCAGAGAACCTTGCTCGCTGTGGCCACCAGATGGCGAAGCTGCCCACGGCCGTCAGCGGAAACTCCGAGGCCCGAGCCCAAGGCCAAGAGTCAAGCGCGGGGTCCTTTCCTGCCAATGAGGCCTACGAAGCCCAGTCCGGTCGACCCTGGCACAGACTGCCGGGCTAGCTTCGCTCTCTCCACGAGAGTTTATCAAAGGCAGTTTAGAGAAGTGTGATGGGGCTAAGATCTAAGCTGGGGACGGTGTGGGGTGGGACCCTAGAGATCTGCACTAGGATCGGGAGGGGAGTCTAGGGACCCATCAGGGGGGGAGTCCAGGGACCCATCATCGGAGACCAGAGCAAGGCGTGGGGGAGAGGGCATCAGAAAAAAACTGAACTGCATCTGTCGCAGCAACTTCCCGTGGTGAAGAGGGCACGCTCCCCGCAGCACCGATATTTCCTAGTACCCGAAGAAGGGGGGGAGGCAGGAAAGATGCAGGGAACGTTGACTTTTCTTTGAAGCTCTAAGGAAGTCAAGTCGGGGTCCACCAAGATCAGCGTGCTCATCATGTTGTGTGTGTGTGTGTGTGTGTGTGTGTGTGTGTGTGTGTGTGTACGCACGCGCATACAACGGCACCCTGCTGTCAAGATGCTCAATTCAGGGGCGGGGAAGGAAATCCAGCCCAGGCACGGTTACCGGAGAACTTCTGGGAACCCCCAAACTTTGCACCACGCACAGGTGGACCGATGCCGCAGGTTCGAATCCCCCTGAGCTGGGCCCGCAGAACTTGACGTGAAGCCTAGAAGTGAAGGATGGAGATGGAGGGAATGGGGTTTTCACAGAGGGGCAGACTCCGTCGGGTTTACCGGCGGCTGTTTGCCTGGTAAAAGCGCCTTCTCAGGTCTCCCGAATCTCTGCGAGGGAAAGCCAAATGTTGGGATCCATGTGTAACGGGGTGGGGAGACCTCGCGGGGCCGCAGAGGAGGAACGCATTTCCAGAAGTGGACCTGGCCTGATTTAGATGTTGTCCAGCAGGGCAGATCACTATTGATTAGAGTCTAAGGAGAATGATTCCTGCAGGTTGGTTGTTGAACTGCATCATTCCCTGCCCCTTAGAAGGAAGAAAGTGAGTTTCCCTCCACACACCTCGTCTTCCCCTAAGCTAAAAATCTGGGTACAAAATCGGTTCTGAAATCCCTGACGGAGTTGAGAGCTGCGTGGCGGTAGACTACCAAGCAATCTGCACCCCTCCCCCGCAGCACCGCTGTGCAAGCCCTGCAAGCCTGCAGTTCTCTCCTTTCAATTTTCCGACTTCTGGGTTTCCCTGTGGGTGGCTCCCCGCCTCACCCCCAGGATAGCCACCAGACGTGGGAGTGAACCCGTGAAGGTGGGGTGGAGAGACAGAGGGAGGTTCTCCCCAGAACAGAAAAGACAAAGGCCCCGCGTGGGCTGCTTTGTATGGGGGACGGAACGGGGCGGGGGGGAGGGTAGGTTCTTATTTTCCTTTAAAATTCAAATGGAACTAACCACCCAAAAGTAGCGATGCAAAAAAAAAAGGGCGTGTATGGAAAATAGCAATATTTCTAATCTAGAGCTGGGTCCTTTTTCCCCCCCTCTCTCTTCTTTTTTCCTCTTTCGTTGAGGGTTTGTTTTAGCGTGTATGGGGGTGGGGGTGGGGTAGGACATGGACTGAGTTGAGACCAACTCTGGCGAGCCCGCAGACCCTCTCCGCCCACGGCACCCTCCCCCCAAAACCCGCGTCCCCACCCCGCACCGGATCGCGGCCAGCACGGGCGCAAGCGCCGGACCCCAAGGGAGAATGTAAACAAACGGGGCGCCGAGCCCTTGATCTTTATTTAAATCGAGGCTTGTTTATCGGTGTCATCCTAGGAGGATTAATTAGATACATCTCTTCGCAATTTGGTGTCTGACACTCCATCTTAGGAATGCCTTATCACAAGGTGTTAATTGGGGCCACTCAGCCACTTACGTTTCTATTAAACACTGTGAGGGACTTTTCACAAGTACCAGGTTCTTTTTACTGTACCGTGCAAAAATATACAGGACTCGAAATAGACCGGGCTTCATCCCGGCGGTGAGATGCATGCTCGGGCTTTCTGGGGGGGGTGGAGGGGGGCACGCTGCAAGAAGGTCCTTTGGAAATTTCATCCCCGGGGGTTTATCGCCGATGGGAAGTTGGGGAGGGGGTGCACTGACCAGGTGAGGGCGAGATGGGGGGCGATTCCTCCCCGAGTCTGGCCTTTTCATGGAATCCTACGGCCACCAACTCTTTAACATCTCCGTTCTCGGTTCCGTGTGCAATTCAGGGTGGCTTTGCCAAAACGTGATTGTGTGGGCCCCGTCCGAGCTCGCGAGTGGCCGGCGCGCCGGGGCAAGTTGGAGCAGCCGGGACGCTGGAGGGCAGGCGCGCTCCCAGCCCCCGGCGGCCTTAATTGGGCGCGGAAGGGGTGGGGGTCAGGCTGATTGCTCGCCTCTCTGCAGCTTAATCCTCTTAGCAGCTGCATTTCCGCAGCCGGCAGTTTGCAGAGACCCTCCCGGCCAGACCTTTACCCAGCGCTGGGCAGGAGGAGAGGTTTGCAAGACTTGGCAGAAGCCGTCTGCTGATAAGCCTGGCTGGGCGTCTGGCGGGGTGGAGGTGGGGTGGGGTGGGGGTGGGGGGACGCAGACACACAAAGAACCCCTCTACCTAATCTTTGAACTCTCCTGCCGCCCAGAGCAGAGTGTGGCCTCGGCCCTCCCGGGGAACGGCAGCCAGATACACGGCGCTACACGCGGGGCGAAGCTCTCCAGCCGCTAGACGCACCGCGTTCCTGCCGCGGTCCGCGTGGCGGCCGGCCCAGCCCGCGCCGCCCGGTCCCCAGAGGAGTGTGGCCTCTTTGAAGATGCGGGGGCAGCCGGGAGGGCAACGCGCGGGGAGTACCCTAGGTTTTGCAGGAAGAAGCCTCAAGGCGCGAGCCCACGCACCCCGTAGGCACAGAGAACTCGTGAACGCCCAAAGGGCTGCGGGGGTTCCCCACCGCCCAAGGGCATAGAGATGTGTGGCCCCAAATAAGCCTAAGGGAAAGCCGAGTGGCCTAAGCAGCCTCTCGCATGTAGGCACCAAAGGCAGGAGAGGTTTTCCAAGTCTGGATTTTGCCTTCCTTTAACCATCTTGCATCTTAGTAGCCAACCCCCTCCCCCATCCCAGCCCCAATACCCATAGCTCAGACTACCCAGTGGGATAAGGAAATGCTCCCCATTCATCTTCAAAGAAAGCAAACAAAAGCATGCCTCCTCCCCCCACAGTGTCCACTTGGAAATTCTAGAAACTTCTTTGAAGGGGAAGGGGCTATGGGGCACTGTTCCTGTTTGGAGAAGGGTGGAAGAGAACGGTCATCTTTAAAACAAGTATTAAACCCCACAGTACAGAAGACAGCTATGCCTGTTCCCTTAATGAACCACATTTATTAAAAATGACTAAAGCTGTACATAAAAATCCAAGATCTCTAAAAAGCCTATAGGAGCTGTGGTATTAGGTTTTAGTTTCTTCACATTACCAAGTTGGGGAGTGGGGGTGAAGGAACAGGAGGAAATGGGGTGGGGGAGGGTGTTCCTTAAACATGGTTCAAGTTAGTACAGAGTAGCTGAATACATCTTAACTATCTAAGAAGTAAACAGAATATTCTCGAATATCATGGGCACAGTGAGAGAAACTATCCCCCCCACCCCTGCAGCTGTCTTTAGGTGATTTGCAAATTCTTTACTAAGCCAAAGCACCGATTTTACATAATCTCAGACACCTATGTAGGCTATTTGTACAATATATTCCATGTTATTCTACAGTGTATCTAAACACACACAACTGTACACTTTATAATTCTCTATTTTATTCTCTTTTTTTTTTTTGGCAATTCCCTCCCATGGCCCCTCAAGTCCTACAGGCAGTGCCTGCAAAGAGCAAAAGTGGATGGAGTGAGGCCATCTTGTACTAGGGCAGAGATGGCTTGTTTCAAAACCCAGGCAGGCATCCAAGTCAGGTAAAACCAGCACCTGCACATTTTTCTTGCCTCTGGGACCTAACTAACATCTTTTATCCTTAGCAAGAAGTCTCCTTTTAGAGCTCAAGGCACAGGCCTTGTCTTCCAGAAGCACAAGACCTTAGCACTCTGGGCTCCTATTTGCTTAAAGATTTACAAACAGAAATGAGAAGCAAAGCTTTCAGCTCATTTGATAGCGCTCAGCACTCACTCTTCTTCACAGCCTGACTCTTGCTGATTTAGTGTTTCCAATAAATAATCCAGAACCTTGAACAACCTTCAAATTTTAAAAAAGCACTTTTAAGTCCTCCATTAACTTTATTTTTAAAAAGAAAAAAAAGTGGCTAGGTTTGTTTCAGTTACCTGCAGCAATTAAAAAGCTTTGGCACCTTCTTTTAGAGAATTGCACAAAACAGGATGCATCAAGGTGGAAGGCAAACTTCTTTTTTGGCAACCTAGGCAAAGAAGACAATAACAACAACAAAACACCACCGAGTTCATCTGCAAAAAGTTAGCTCATTTTACAAGGAGGTTAAAATACCTCTCTAGGGAGTTGTGTAAAAAGCATAGTACCCCCCCATGCCTTTTGAGGTGTCTTTGCTGTACTCTTCAGCATTAATGTCCTCACACTTTATGGAGGGAGAATTTTCGTTACTAGAGGTGCTAGGAGAGAGCCTCCTTCGCTTACAAGCACTGGTGTACACCCCCGAATCATTGGAATCCAGAGACTTGATAGAAGGGGGTGTCTCTATCCAGGAAGAACTGATTTCTTCTTTGACTTTCTCCTTGGAGAGTTGATCTTCAGAGTATACTGGGGGACTTGTTCTGGAGGTCCATGGGAGTCCGGTTGCCATCTTCCTCTGGTAAGAGCCTCGACCACCCCATCCTGCCATTGCAGGGAAGGTGGGGTCAGGGTAATACCCCAGGGCATGGGAGGTCTGGAGGGGCAAAGATTTAATACCATATGGGAGCAAGGTGCTGGAAGTATATTCAGACTCATAGGAACTGATGTCTAGTTTGTTGGTCCCAGGTTGCTGGACAGGCGTAACAAGCCACCGCTGGGGAGGGTTGGCCACCTCTTCGCTCTGTTGGGGTGAAAGGAGGCCGTTGGTCTGTGGCACGGTTCTCTCGCCATTATAATATCGGGCTTGAGGTAAAGTGTTGACAAAGGGCTCCGGGAAGAAGGACTGAACGCCGTACCGACCTCCAGGGACAATCTGATGGGATCTAGGAGAATCCGTGGGAGATGGAGTTAACCTGTCATTTTCGGAAGCGGTGTACATGCTACAATATAAAGAGAAACACTTACAAAAAACCCAGTGTTGTCCCCAAACAAACCACCTCCCGGAAATGAGAAAGGCTTGCAAGCTGATGGTCCTCTGGACCGGGAGCACGGGTCTGCTGAGGCGGAGGGATGCAGGAGATGCACTGGCTGATTTTAATGAAGGTCTCTTGGCCCAAGGGGGGATATTTCCCACCATGGAAAGAAAGTTTCCTCTCCAGCATGAACTATTCAAACTATAGAAAATGCACTCCTACAAGTCCTAGAATGTGAAGAACTCAAAGCAACCCTTCCCTATCAGTGGAAGGATGAATGCCCTCAAAGAAAACCCTAGATTTAAAAGGGCATTTGCAGGGCCTTGTGGCTTGAAGTTGTAAAAATGACATTCTCTTAGTTGCAGGTTTTTCTTATGTAAAAAGGAGGGGGTGGGGATTTTTTTTTAAAAAGTTAAATGGAATGAAAAAAAAAAGGTATATAAATGCAGATTATGAAAATTTTGACTCTCATTCACATAAAAAAAAAGCTCCATATTTGTAAATCCTTACATTTCTTTAGAAATGAACAAATACCTTCTGTGAACATTCTTAAGCAAGATTAGTCAAGGCAAAAAAAAGTGTATATATATATATATTTACACACAAATAAACATGAAACCTCTTTCTACAATATATTCTTAGCCAAGTGTCTGGTTAGGTATGTCCTGTTCAAGATGGCCATGGAAATATAAATAAAAACTGCACTTACGAATCATAGTTGTCCCTGAAGCCTTTTGCAAAAGGGTTATGATCAATCTTTAGCTGAGTAATCTAGACAGGGAGAAAAATAATGGTTGAGTGTTTCGTTCATTGCACCTCTTTAGAGATTCTTGAGTTGTGTGTGACACTCACGTCAGTATTTTGGTAGGCTGTCACTGCAATGAACTGTGTTTCTGAGAATGTAAAGGTTTGTGTCTTCGAAGGCTCGTTCAAGTCCTCCACGCCATCCTCCGTAACTTCAACAATGTGTAGTCGTGGCTGATACTTGTGTAAAGACTGTAAGACTATCATCTGGAAATGGTACAGAAAAAGAGTTGCTGAAGCTCCTCTGTCTTAGGTATTCAACAGACATCAACTCTGACAAATTTCATATTTTGGAACGAGGCTCCTGCTTGCTCCCCACCAACAGTTTCCTTTTGCTAGAATCATTAAGAAAAAAAAATCTTCACATGGCCATTTCTCCCCCTCCCCGCCCACCCCCCCCCCCCGCATTTCCTAAGATTTCCACCAAGATTTCAGTATTTCTGCTTCTAATAGTCAACTCCCTGCTATGAAAATTCAGTAAAAAAAAGTGGAAAAAAAATCAAAAGTTAAAAAACAAAAGAGTTAGGCAGGCAGTTTTGGCAGTAGGCAGGCAAATAGGTAACAACTACAATGACAAAGACAGTAAAGAGTACAACTCTCCTTAGCAATGAGAACTAGTCAGGAAACACCTGGCCTGTCACTCTACCTGTGTGTTGTTGTTATTGGCGCCTTTGTTATTGGTGAGTTTTAATTTCCCAAAGGAAATCTCCTGTCTCATCCAGTGGGAACCAGTATTCGGAGACTCTGGGTGAACATACATTTTGTTGCCTAAGTGAAAATGAAACAAAACACAAAACCCAAGTATATAAGATGGTTTCAAGTGGAGGGTGGAGAGGTTACAGCACAAATCTCCCCAACATTAGCTGCTTCATGACAGCCTGTGAAGACCAACTAGACTCCCCAGATGGCTCTGCCAGGGACCCCTGTGCTTCGATATTCCTTAAACAACCTGTATTTCAGACTACAAAAGTGAGGCCCCAGAGGAACGGCTTCTTGAAGGTCAACTTGAGGCCTTCTAAAGCTGGTCGGGAAACATCTGCAGAAACACAGCTTGCATCTTGTGAATGGATTCAACCTCAGGAAGGGCAAGCTCAAGTGAAGGTCAGAATGCCAGCAGACCTTGCCAACCAGTGCCTATGACAATTAGTTTCTCAAACGAAGATGGGGGTTGGGGGCAGAGAGTTCCACACTTTGGTAGACCAGAAACCTGACTTAGCAGATCTTCCTCTCATTCAGTCAACACAAAGAAACTCATATAACACCTCTAGGCCCCAGACTGGGGGGTGGGGGGAGCGCTCCATTTAAAGGGGGAGTTGTGAGTCAAAGGTTTTCGCATAGCTTGTCCCCAACCCGCCGCCCTGGCCTCCTCTCTCCTCACCCTGCATGTTATTGTCAGCTTTGCCGCAGGTCACCCATTTGCCCCCTTGGAAGCGCCAGTGGTTGGGATCTGCCAGCACCACTTCTACGAACACGTTGTAGTGAGCGGTGGGATTCAGTCCGTTTATGTTGAAGCTCAGGAAAGGAAACATACGCCTGTGCACGGGAATAGAACCAGGATGAGGGATTTCAATCGGCTGCACAGAGCAGGACCACACTCAGTCGGGTTCACGGACGCCTGACGGGCAAATCCCGGGAGTTAAAGTCGCCCTATTATGTAAGCAATTTTTCAGATGGCAATTCTTGGAATAACTCCCTCCCCTTCCTACCCCCAGAAATAATTTGCCCCAAAGTCGGTATTTCCGCAGCTCACGTACTTCTACGCTCTTTCCCCATTTAAATGGGGGAAATGCTCATTCATTTTCTTCCAGGACATTAAAAAGTGTTGAACATTAGATGTACAGGAATCTTAACAATGTTCAGCTGCTCTTGAAAATGACCGAAAAACAAAACAAAAGAAATTCTACTGGCCAAGTCCCCTCTCCGGCACCCAGCCCTAGGATGTTCCAGGACTAACCACTGCCGGCAGTGAAGTGTATCCAAACCTCACGCCCCGAATGCGAGCCAAATTCAGCTCCAGAAGATGATTAATCAGCCACGCGAATGCAGCCGCTCGGGTCTTCGACCCCCACCTCCTCCCAGCTCCCGGAGGTGCCCCGGGGAGACCCTGGCGCCGAAAACTGCGGGAAACATCGACTGCGCGCTGGGGACCAAATCGTGCGCTATCCCGTTCCCGCGCCTGCTGGCTGGTCCGCGTGCAGACACCGGCGCACACCCGGGAGCACAGATCTAGAAAACCCAATTGTGTGGACAAACTCCAAACCGTGCCATCTTTTCCTCCACGGACCTGATGAAGGCGACTGGGGCTGGTAAGGTGAGGTGTTAGAACATCTTCCCCCGCACAGAACATCTTTGGGCCCGCGCGAGAGCAGGCAAACGCTCGGGGATGGAGATGCCGCATACCCTGCGCGCAAAAACTGCGCGCAAAAACCCTCGCTACTAGCCAAGAGCCGAGTGGGTGACAAGACTTGGTCACCCCCTGGCCTGCCTCGGGACCACTCATCCACTCTGCCCCCGCGCCCCGACACCCCCTCCGCGCTGAGCTTACCTGCCCTGTTTCGTGATGATCATCTCGGTTTGGTGGCGGTGGAATTTGAGCCACAGAGGTCGGTTGCACAGGTAGACGTGGGCACGGAAGCCGGAACCCGGGACGCCCAGGCCCCCCAACGCTCCGCAAGAACCCGCGGAGGGTGCGCCTGGGTAAGGGCCATAAAGCGGTGCCCCCTGGCTGTACTGGTAGGCGCCGGGGCCGCCTCCCGCGCCGCCGCCGCCTCCGCCACCGCCGCCGCCGCCGCTCGCACCGCCGCCCGCGCCCGCGCCGGGGCCGAACTGTGCCCTCCCGGGTGGGCACACCGCGGCGGGGAAGCCGCCGGGGGGCAGCATGGAGCCGTAAGGGTAGCGCGCCCCGTTGGGAGCCGGGTACACCGAGCCGTGGGGAGCCCCGGCCGCAGCCTGGTACGGGAAGAGCGAGCAGGGCGCGGCCAGCTCGGAGCCCTGCGGCCCGGGGGACGGGAGGTAGTAGCGCTCCGAGCTCAGGCTGTCCATGGAGTAGCGCGCGGTGGCGGCGGCCGCGGCCGCAGCGGCGGCGGCCGCGGCGGCCGCGGCGGCGGGCAGCTCCTCCTCCCCGCAGGGGGAGCCCTTGCGGCCGTCCGGGGGCCCGGGCTTCGCCACGGCCGCGGCGCTGGCAAAGGCGTCCCCGGCGTCCGCGTCACTGAGCATAGCCGCGGGCCCCCCCGCGCTGGCGGCCGCGGGCTCCCCACTCCCGGCCTCGCACGAGAGACTGCCCGAGAACTTCTTCGGCGCTTTATCCAAGTCCAGCCTCTGCGGCGAGGGGGCAGCGCGGGGGAGGTGACCCGCACTCCCGCCGCCCGGGCCGCGCGGCGCACCCTCTAGCGGGTAGAAGTGCGCGCCGGGCAGGTTCACCGAGCTCACCAGGAGCTGCTCGCCTAACTGCATGCTTTGCAAAGCTCAGACGGCAGCTGGCTGCTTCCTCTCCTCCTGCGGCCTTATAATAAAGGCAGGGTGGGGGAGCCAGCGCCCTCTTCCGAGGGGAAGGTAACTTCCCCTTCCTCCCGTGCGGCGGCTGCCCACCTGGAGACACGCGGGCGGCGAAGGCGCGCGCTCGCGCGCTTGGAACCCCGCGTCCTCTGCGCGTGGAAAGCGTTTTGAGTTTGAAGGCAGGCGACGGAAACGGAGAAGAGCTCTCCTGTGCCTCCTCCCCACCGTCCGTGCTTCTCAAGACTCCCAGCACCCTCCCGCACTCACATCCAAGGAAGAGAGGGCTTAGCTCTCGGTTCCATCCACCCGCCTGGGAGAGCCTTTCAGCCCTTTCTCTCACTGCCAAGCGACCGGTCAAGTTGACCACTTGGAAACTTGCGGGCTGTCATTGGCTGCTTTATATACGTGCGGTCAGGGAGGAGCGTTGCGGTCCCCACAGCCTCCAGACCCTCCGATTGGCTGATGGGGGTGACACTAATTCAATTAGGCATTTACTAATTGGATCAAGTCGCCAGCGACTTGCTTTTCCTTTCGTCTGACATTTTTTTTTTCCTGGTTGTTTTTGAGATTCGGTCCTGTTGTGAGAAATGAATCGCTTGTCTGTACGTCGTCGGGGTTTGGGGGAAGAGGTTTTGGGGTCCCTCAAGTCATCTTGATGCTCTGAGCAGGAGATGAATGCAGGAACGGGAGTGGGTCTTAAAGGGATGCGGAAAGGCTTTGCAGGCGGATGGCACCGGTCCCCGAGGGTGGGGATCGGGGTGAGAGAGGACGAGGCCCAAGACCCTGAGGTTCTAAGTTCAGGTACATTTTCCCTCCAGATGGGGCGAGTGCTCCCTGGCCTTCAGCACGCTCGGACGTACCGTATTTCCCTCCCCAACCGGACCCATTCTACTAGTCAATGTCAAGGGGGGGTGTGAAGAATGAAATCCCTCTCGGCTTGGGGATTCAGGGACAGCGAGGTATATTCTGCCATCCTTGAGCACCGACCCTTTAAAAACCAGGAGTCCATGTCGGGTGGGGAGATACCGGGAAGAGCATCTTCCACATCGTGGAGCGGAAAAGAGATCCCGTTTACTTCCCATAATTTATTATCCACGCGGCTGCTCTGAATTCCCGCTCCCCTCGGTCCCCCTTTATCTTCAGTTGGGCCCGACCCGGAGAAACAAAGGTTCTCCAGCAGCCGGGCTGCAAAGGTTCCCCGCGCCTCTCCTCTGGCGGTGAAACACAGAAGGTAGAATAATTAGTGAAATAAGCAGGTTGATGTTGCATTCAGCCTTTTTGCCCCAGCTGCCCGTTTCTCCCCCGTGTTTCCGCAGAGCAGGGAATCGAGAGCGGTGTGGTCATATTTATTGTTTTCTTCTCCCGGAAAGGGTGGGGGGCGCCACGTTTTCTTGAGGGTAAGAAGCTCGAATATACACTGCTAATAAGCAATTACAGACACGATTTGTAATCGCTCCGGGAGCGCATTTTCCGGCTGAGATGTCGGGACTCTGCTTCCCCAACCGAACGCGATCACACGGGAAAGTCTTGGACCTCAGCAGATGAGGCGAACACAAGACTTTCTGAGCGGCGCGCGTTAGGGTAGACCTGCCCCAAGGCTTTTCCATCGAGGTTACATCTACGGCAGCACCGGCCACCTCCACATCCGGGGTGGAGCGCGAGGCGGTCCTCGAATGCACTGGACGTTCTAGGACCCAGTGGTGAAAAGAGCGAGCGCCTGAAGTTTGCAGGGTCAAGGCACAACCTGGAAAAGGGGGACTTCTTAAGATCCCGGGGTGGCGGTCTCGTAGGTTCAGGACAGGACTGCTGGTGAATCGGTCCCTGGGAGTCTGACCCAGTGCACGCTCAGTCCCGCGCTCCTAGCCTTTCGTCCCCCCAGTTTAGTTCGGGGCTGGCCCGACTTTCTGATCCGCTCATCCCATCTTCCACTCCCACCTCGCTGGCTCTTGTTTTATTTCGACCCCGGGAAGTCTAGAAGAATTGAATTTTTCAAGGATTTGCTGCTCTTCTGAAGACTTCATGAACGTCAACCTGGAGATTGCCTGAGCTCCAGGGAAGAGCCGTTTACTGGGGCGAGTGAAAACGTAGCCTGCCGTAGGGAGGGGATCGTGGTGACAACTTCTGGGTGCCCTCACGTTGGCCTTGTCCGGAGCTGCAGGGTATTGGAGGGAAATGGAAGGTGATGTCGATCGCTGCTCACATTATTTGAAGATGGTGTGGTCCGGGGTACACTACGCGGCAGCTCTGCGCTTCGCCCTAGCGAGAAACGGCCTCAGTGTCTCTTCAAATTGCTTTCGAGGCGGCCAAGGAAGCGCTGCGTGTGGCAAAGTGCCATCGCAGGCAACAGGCACCGTTCCGACCCGCTCTGGCGCAAATAACTCGGGCCAGCTGTCCCCCGCACCACATCAGAAAGGACAGCTTTTATTCCAGCCCCAAGCAAGTTCTGAGAGCGCGTAGGTTCGCCCCCGAGTGCTACCCAATTATTAGATATAGTCGCCTCCGTGTAATTAGAGTTACTATTGAATTGTGAGGCAGGGGTTTACAATTTATATCATCCTACCCCTACCCCCAAGATATCTACTGTTTCACCCAGACTTTATTCCTCTGTGCAGAAGAGGGATTGAAAGAGAATAAAAATTCCAACAGTTCAAAACTGCTTTCAGGACCAGAATGTGGGGGGGGGGGGGGATGGCGGGGGGGGGCACAAAAATATATAGATCATTTATATCTAGAAATTTAATATATATTACAAATCCCTTTTTAACACAGTAAAAAGCAACTTCAACTGAAGGCTATTTATTTACTTCAGACTGCATAAAGGTCAAGAAATCTCATTTAATGGTTCTTTTGTATTAATGAACCAATCACTAATTTGTTATTACATATGGAATATTCTAGTCTAAATGCTTGGAAAGGTAAAAGATGAACAATTCTGTGATTTCTTCATTGAATGGGTTTCTCTCTTGGTAACTCAGCTTTACATATAACCAGGTAAAGAGGCATAAAAATAATTTTCATATGTTCCAGCCACACTTTAAAACCCAAACACTCTTTTCCAGAAATAGGAACAAAAAGAAAGCTAAAACAGTGACTTCAATGAACACATTAGGCAGCACCCTACTTCCACTGGGTGGGCAAATAACAGAGCCTTCCAGCCTGTTTGCTGTTTGATTTCAATTACACCCCAAGCTTCATGAAATCCAAATGAGACATTTATTGAAAGGTGCCTGGTTTTATGTGGCTCAACTGACAGTGTATTGGAATCCATTGAACAAAAACATCAACAGGAGGGAGGAAATGTGGAGACCCCTTGGAACCCCAGACCCAAATGCCTCTGGGATTAACTCAAATCTTGCACCTTTCAGCCTGAGATGGAGCAGAGCAGCCAGCAAGCTTCTGAATGCTACAACGAAGCCAGGGCTAAAATGTTCCTGAGTCTCTTATAGATGTCATGACTGTTGTCTCAAGCAATAGTACCAGCTTCATGCCTCCTTCACAGATAACACGAAAGTTATTACCTACCTGATCAGGTGAGCTTCTTTGCTTCTTTCTCACCCTTAGAGATAATCACTATCAGGGCATTAGTATTTTTGAAGCAAATCTGAGAGGCATTAAGCTGTTCCAGCACAACACCCATCAAATACATATATAACATGTATAAATAAATCACAGGACTGACTTGTAGATGAGTGCAATGATACATGGTTTACATCCATTGCCACACACGCACAACCATGGGGGCCCATATAAATGTCCCAATAAATTCTATTATTTTCACCCCTGCTAAAAATGTGTTATCAAAACACTGTCCATGTTATTCAAACACTTTGTAAATTCTGAGCAGACTAGCTGCCGGTTCTCCTTTTAACCCTAGGAAAACATTCCAACATTAACCGGTCACCAGCGCTTCGCCTGGACTCTGAAAAAATGTCAATGGGTTTTTTGTGGTGAGTTGGTCCTTTTACTATTTATCTATGGCCTTTTCTTTGTTGATGTTACGTTTTATTTCACATCTCGGCTCACTCTTAGACCCTTTGTTCTCAGATGGCCAGATCTGCCACCTCTAGAGTGCTTTCCAATGGGGGTGGGAGTTTTCATCACCATAAGGTTGTTCATGTTTCAAAAAGAAAAAAAATGCACCTTAAGATGAAACATTTTGGCACAGACAAGTAATGTTATTCTGCTGAAGACAGCAAGATACTCTTACCAACACGATTTCATTTTTGTAAGAATTATATTTCACCATGATACTGAACAGACTGATCACATGCTTTAAAAAAAAATTACCAGGTCTAAAAATGTGTAAGCAATGGGTTATAAACCTACTGTTTTCTTTTATATAAAAATGACACACTTAATAATTTATTATCTTAATCACTCATCCGTTCTTTCATTGCTATGTGCAGTGGTAGTTCACAAATATTAGAAGATGAGGAGTCTTAGAATGAAGGGTAATAAATATACCCAAAGTGGCTTATTTTTTTAAAGGAAAGAAAATTGTTGTTTCCTAAACTCTGAATTAAGAATCTTTTTTTATGAATGTATCTTTCTACAGTAATGTTGTAGGTTGAACCCAGGGCCTTATATGTGTGAGGTACATATATGAAAATTCTGGTATATAACAGTATATGTGTGAGGTACACGCATATAACTCTGTTATACACCCAGGATTTTTAGGAAAGTACTTAACAAAACTACAAAAAAAAATCCTGGAGTTTTTGACTGACAGATTCCTGACTGCTTTCTTTTTATAATCATCATCATCGTCATCACCATCATCATCATTACTATCATCCTATTTATTTATTTAAGTATATAAGTTCACATAAATAAGAGGCAGAGTAAATAAAATAAAATACCCTCCTGACAAGAGTAATGAGTGGGTCTGATCCCTTGTACTAAAATAAGTAAATATATTATGAGAATGTTTGGTTGATTATTACTACATTAAAATATTTTTTTAAAAAAGTGAAACTAGAGCAATAATACAGTGGGTAGAGCATTTGTCTTGCATAAGGCTGACTAGGGTTTGATCCCCAGCATCTCACATAGTCTCCCCAGCACTGCCAAGAAATTCCTGAGTGCAGAGCCAGAAGTAACCACATCTATCTTCCTTTTGTACTTTGGAAGTTGTGGCACTTAGTAGGTGCTCATTTGGTAACTGAAAAACATTTGGTAATTGGAATTATTAAATCTAAACTAGAACTGCAAAAATAGCAAGTCTCAAGCTTTATAACTATGAAGTTTAATGTTGGTCTTTTCCCCCAAGAAAAAGAAAACATAAATCTCCTAAATTAATATATTTAAAAGCATTTTAGACTTTATAAGCACTTAAAATTTTTTAAACCTTTTA